TATATTCTAGTCATTTGCTTCGAAACCGAAAATGTTCAGAGCGTTTTATGATGACTTACGAATTCCGTTTCTGAGAGTGAGTCCACCAGTGAGCAGAATCGAATACAAGAACATCGACACCTCGCCAATATCTAGCATTGTCTTCGATTGAGTCCAAATGTAACACTCTTATGCGGTCATTTCCTTTCTTGAGTTCCACAAGCAGAGGAGCCCAACAGAATTCAATTGATGTCTCAAAATCCTGCAAGTAACCAAACTTATTAGTCGCTTTTACTAACCAATTATATGAATATGTGATCCAAAAGGAGATTTAATTATGGTTATTACCAGAGAATGGAAAGACATTGTAGGACCATTGTAAGTGACCTTCTTACGATGAGTGGGAATAACAGACTGTACTAAGCAGACAAGAGATTCCCACTGGTTTCTCATAATTGAATCTCCAACCAGCATTATTCTTTTTTTCCTCATTTTCCCCATAAATTTCAATGCATCAAACCTAAAAGCACATCAAATTAAGAGAGATTATTTATTATTTTGATAATGATCAAAGTTGCAAAAATTTTGTGTTTCAAAAAAAGAAGTAAGAGGAGAGAGTGTGGTTAGTGTGTGCCTTGGGAGTGAACAAGCCTTAGCCTTAGGGATCCATCTCCATTTCTGGTAATAAGAGTCAGGTCTTCCATTTCTTTGACAACTTAATGCAGAGCTCAAATATGGACAGTTCGATTCATAAAGCGGATACGTTTCATCGTAAGTCCATTTCCCTACCGAGTAATCGCACTTCTCCTCTCTTCTTCTGTGCCTTGTCTGCAACGCGTTAAGTGGATCATCGTCATCACCGACTAGCCATAGCTCATCAAGCTGAGAAGATGCTTCTTTGCTAAGGATAAGACAAAGAGAACATAAGAAGAAGAAGATGAGAGTGTTTGAGGTAGCCATTTGGAGGAGCAATGTGGGGCTTTGTTAAAGAAGTAATATATAAAGAAGATAAAGTGAAAAAGGCGTTAATTACGGAAAGTGGTGGTAATTAGTAGTTAGTCTTTTTGTTTGAAATCATGTTTCCGTGACTTGCGAAGTGTTTTGAGTGTAGAGTGAAAAAGGCATTCCAGTATCCTAGGCAGGATTGATATGATTGAAACAGTTTTATTTTTTCTTTTCTATATCCTAAAAACCGAATTTGACGGAATTGAACCAAAGTTGGTACAGAACAATCCGTAGAAACCGAAAAAAGAATGAAACACGAATCCTTTCTTAAATCAGTACTTTTTGATGACAATTAAGTAGAAAGCCAATGAACCAACCAAATATATATACATAAACAAAATAAATGTCACTAAACAAACCAATTATATATCCAAGAGGCACAATTATTGAAACCAAGACATTCTTCTTCAGCTTTTATTTTTCTGCATGCATGCTTATCAAATTCACACCATTTCAAACAACATAACACAAAACAAACACTGTGCTCTTTTGGTGGTTAGCTTCTGTCCCAAACAGGTATCAATCTTAATATGTCAGTCCAGATTAAGATAATCCTTTTAGAAAATCCATTTTTCTTGATCATCTGAACATGAATCATCTAACCATGATTGGTGGATGTGCATCCACATCAGCATTTGCTTTTCCTCCTCCACATTTTAACACATTTTTCTTTCTTTCAGATTTTCAATAGTACTTAATCAAATCAAATCGTTTGAAATGTTTAAGGACATGAATTAAGAAAGTTTACCTCTACGTATCACAGTCACCTCCCTGATCGCTGCTGCAGTTGTTTGGATGTCAGAATTTCCCTCTAGACTTAATCCAATAATCTTGCCGCTGATGGCTTCAATTAAAAGAGAGCAGGTAGCAACTGAAATTAAATGTTTATTTTACATGTACGCTGAACAGAACACTGACTCTGTGCTGTTTCAAGGAACAAATACTACAGCAGAAAGCTGCGGAGGCTCTTGCAGAGCTTATTGCTTACTGCGTAGATCGGAAGCCAAGCCCCAATGACAAGTTATTAATCAATAATATATGTAGCTTGACGTGCATGGATCCTAGCGGAACACCCCAAGCTAGCATCATTAGCTCTATAGATATCGTTGATGATCTGGATTTCCTGTCCTCGCGTAGTAACGCAGGAAAACAAAAGGCAAAAGTCGTGTTAGCTGGTGGCGAAGATAGGTCTAAAGTTGAGGGTTTTATCACCAGGAGAGGATCTGAACTTGCATTGAAGCATTTAAGCCTGAAATCTGGTGGTTCCTTGTTTGACAAGCTCCCAAAATTGTGGGAGTGCCTCACTGAGGTTCTTGTTCCTGGAATTCCTGCAGATCAACAGAATATTGACCTTAAAATAGAATCTATCTCGGATCCACAGGTCTTGATAAACAACATCCAGGTATACTCAGTGAAGTCTTTTTGCATGGTCAAGTTTGTCTTTGAGTGTGGTTAATAAAATCGTGTGACGAGTAATTCTGATTTGCATGTTAGGAAAACTCTTTTCAGAAACTGGCAGTCTTAGAAACTGTTTTTATATACTGCCAATGATAGGATGAACATTGGAAATGTATGAGAACCGTTTTGCATAGCAAACTCACTAGTTAAAGAGTTTCCTCACTTGGTAATGTTTGATTTTTTAGCTATTTCAACGTAATAGCTAAACGATTGGCTATTTTACATTCCTGAAACATACAAAGTAAAGCTTACTCTTGAATAGGTTGATGCTTTTTAAAGAGTCCCATTCAGCTCTGAAGCTGGAAACGCTATAGTTTCTTTCTGTAATACTTTCACAAAGAAGGGCATTTGTTTGTTATAGAAGTGCCTTTTACAGGTTGCTGCTTGGAAATGTTTGAACATAGCTCACATAGCAATCCCAGTAGGTGATGTTGTGCTTGAGTTATTTGAGCCTTAATTTAATGTCTTNATAATTTATCCGTTTTCCAGGTGGTACGTTCAATAGCACCAGTGATGGAAGAAACACTGAAACCTAGACTACTCAGTCTCCTGCCTTGTATTTTCAAATGTGTTCGCCACTCCCATGTGGCTGTTAGATTGGCTGCTTCTAGATGTGTTATGACAAAGGCTAAATCAATGACAACAAATGTCATGGCAGCAGTAGTGGAAAATGCTATTCCAATGTTGGAAGATTTGACATGCATTAATGCCAGACAAGGCGCAGGAATGCTTATTGGTTTGCTTGTTCAAGGGCTGGGTGTAGNNNTGGTTCCATATTCTCCTTTATTGGTTGTTCCCCTCTTGAGATGCATGAGCGATGTTGACAGTTCAGTCAGGCAGAGTGTGACACGTAGCTTTGCTGCCCTTGTACCTATGCTTCCATTAGCNCGTGGGGTTCCCCCACCTGTAGGGTTGAGCAAAGATCTATCCAGCAATGCAGAGGATGCAAAATTCTTGGAGCAGTTACTTGACAACTCCCATATAGATGATTACAAGCTTTGCACTGAGTTGAAAGTTTCATTGAGAAGGTAATTCTCATAGTCTAGATTAAAGGAAGGCTGTTTCCGTTTTTTGCCTTGGTTCTCTCAGTTGCATCTATACAGAATTAACGGTTTGGTTTGTGAGCAATGGTAGGACATTGTACCTATTATTGGTTTAAGCAGGGTACAATTTAGGAAAATTGGTCTTTTGCTTAGCAGTCTTTGATTGATAGGATTATACGCATTTCATTGCTTTTGATACCATTCTCGAATATTTATCAGTTTTCTCATTTCAGNTATCAACAAGAAGGAATCAATTGGCTAGGATTCCTGAAACGTTTTAAGCTCCATGGAATTCTCTGCGATGATATGGGGCTTGGTAAGACGCTTCAAGCATCTGCAATTGTGGCGTCTGATGCAGCAGAGCGTCGCAGTTCAACAGATGAACCAGATGTTTTTCCATCTATAATTGTTTGCCCTTCAACACTGGTTGGCCATTGGGCATTTGAAATTGAGAAGTATATCGACCTTTCTTTGCTAAGCGTGCTGCAGTATGTTGGCTCTGCTCAAGACCGCAATTCTCTCCGTGAACAGTTCAACAATCACAATGTCATTATAACATCTTATGATGTGGTCCGCAAGGATGCTGACTATCTAACACAGTTCTTATGGAACTATTGTATTCTGGATGAGGGGCACATTATTAAGAATGCTAAATCTAAAATTACTTCAGCAGTGAAACAATTGAAGGCTCAGCACCGGCTTATCCTTAGTGGAACGCCAATACAGGTTACATAAGAGTGCTGAACTTCCCAGAAATTTTAATACAAGTGCTTTTATCTCTTAGTGATATTGTTTCCTTTTTGCAGAATAATATCATGGAGCTGTGGTCCCTTTTCGATTTTTTGATGCCTGGATTTCTCGGGACAGAAAGACAGGTAACGCTTGTATAGATATTCCCTGCTTTTATGTTGTTACTAATTTACCAATTTTCAGGGTCATTTTTTAAGTTGTACTTTGAAGAAGTATTTTTGGATATTCTTTGTTGTCACTAGTAAACGAGATATGTGTTCTTTATTGGGCAGTTTCAAGCATCTTATGGAAAACCATTGCTGGCAGCTAGAGATCCTAAATGCTATGGAAGCACTCCATAAGCAGGTAAGGCTGTTTCTGGCCTTTTATTTTATATTTCGTTGTTGCAATTTGTGGGCTTATTGTCATTAGATCAAATGGGAGATTGGGCTTTAGCCCATAAATGGTTATAAGGTTTTCGATATGAAGACTTATATAAAGGGGTAAGAACAAGGTGATTAAGAGAAGAGGAGAAACAGAGTTAAAGCTGCGGTAAAGAGGCTTTAGGGTTTCGGTGTTCTTCAAGCTTGAGTCTTCACGTTCGGAGCTCGTCGTCACGTTCACGTTATTGAGCTGTTGGTCTTTCTTCTTGTTGTTCCTGTACAAGAGAGAAAAAGATACGTGAGGTCATATACGTGAGACAAAGAGATCACTCTTGTAAACACTTGATTATTATAGTGGATCGTTGAGAGGA